ATTATAAATTGATCAAGATTTGCTTGTCCTGCAAAACTTTCCTGGCATTCTTCATAGCAGTTTTCTGTCCTCAGATGACTCCATGAAATGTAGAGTTTGTGTGAGGAGATGATCTGGACAGTTTGCCCATTGCCCTGAAAGAGACACACCCTGCCACACCCCTTTGCCTTCATCCATGCTGTCCTCTCTTCCCAGCATGCCTCTCTTCCCTGCTCTCATCCACCTGCAATGTTCTTATGTGCCTTCTAAAATTCAGTTTGACTGTTATCATCCCCCTCATCAGGCTTTACATGCATTCTTCATTTCTCCTTCTTAACAAAGCCCCGATTTTGCTCAAGTCCCACTCACTCCTCTCCCACAAGATGTGTGTCTAGTGAAAGGTGTTGATCTTAGTCTCATCTCCATGAAAGGACTAATCAACATAAGCATAATCTCATTCCCTTTGCCAGGGTTTGGCTAAAGAATTGTCATATGGTTTGGCCAATAAGACAGGAGGGAAAGCATGTGGAGGGCTCTCAGTCCTCACTAGTAAGAAAGAGATGGTCAGCCCCCTTCCCTTTGTTGTGCCATGTCTGACTATGGCCTAAGGGTGGCTGCCTTCCTCTCCAGAGCAAACCAAGTAGGTCAGCTGGCCTTTTAGTAACACTCCATGGTCACTTACCTCTGAGAGTGTCACTTTCCTCTTTTGCAAAATGAGGAAGTTGACCTCATTTTTCTGTAGCTTCCTTTTAACTTTAGAATACCATGTATGCCTCTAAAAGATGATGGAGGAAGACCTAGGAAGTGAAGAAGGCCAGCTAATTTTATGTGTAGCTTTAACCATCTGCTGCCATTAACATGAACAAGCAGCTATCTGCATTTTAGTGTTTGGGTGATCTTAACTTTTCAGTTTAAGAAACAAGTACTAATCTTGGTTTAGCCACTAAGATATCCTCATATTTCCCCTTTCCCTGAAGTGAATCTATTAATATCCCTTTATCTTGTTTGGTAAACAAAATGTTTTTACTGAAATTAAGTAGAAAGGGTAGCACAATTCAAGTTTAGGAGCCAAAAAGATTTTTTCCCCTGAATTTCAAGTAAAACCATTTTATTCTCCTCCTGTAATTGTTCCAAAACCACCCAAGAAGACCTAAGAGTTTATAAATGGAGAAGAAGTATGGACATTTTTTAATGCAGGATTATATTGCTTAAGGTCAGTAGATCTTAGCTTGCTTCAAAATGTTAAGAGACTTAAGTCGAAGCACCATCTAGTGGTTCTCAACTGTGTTCTGCTAAAAGTTGCTCCCAGTTTCCCTCTATTTAGGACCGCAGTTAATTTGATGGGCATGAATACTATTGACCCTGGAACAGCAACTTTAAAGTGCGCAGATCTACTTATATGTGGAATGCTTCCACTTCTTCAGCCCCTGAGACAGCAAAACCAACCTCTCTACTTCCTCCTCCTCCTCAGGTTACTCAATGTGACAAGAACAAGGATGAAGACCTTTATGATGATTTACTTCCAATGAATGAATAGTACACATATTTTCTCTTCTTATGATTTTCTTAATGTTTTCTTTTCTCTAGCTTGCTTTATTGTGAGAATACAGTATACAATACATTTAACATACAAAGTATGTGTGAATCAACTGTTTATGTTATCAGTAAGGTTTCTAGTCAACAGTAGGCTGTTATAGTATTTACATTTTGGGGAGTCAAAAGTTATATGCAGCTTTTCCACTGCATGGAGGGTTAGTACCCCTAATCACCATGTTGTTCAAAGGTTAGCTCTATATGAACGCATATGTGCGTTCAGAAAAACAAATACGGAGTTTTTTATCTTTATGTAGGAGTGGGAGGATGGGGGTAGTAGCTATAGCTTTTTACTCTTTCAATCTAACATTTCCCACCCAGAAAATTATGGCAGTGAGAATGGGATAAAGAAATAACATGAATTCACATAAATCTCTTCTAGAAATCGTGAAGTTAATCCAGTGGAAAAAAAGAATTAATACAATAAAGTTTCATAGATTTCAGTTCTTCGGTTTCTCCTGCTCATATCCTCTTTAAAAGCCCACACCAATATCTTTATCTTCCTTTAGAATTGCATAATGTAGACATGTTCTCACACATCCAGGTACTGTCTAACAATTAGATCATTTTTACATACCTCCAAGTTCTCAAGCCCTTCTCCACCACAAGCGCAGAGGATTCCTCGCACTTTATATAACCAGCAATTTTTCTTGAAGTGTCATGGAGATAACTCTTATACCTATAATTCCTATCTTCTGAAGTTACATCTTTTCATTACCTCTACGGGCATAATGAAAATGGACCATAACAGTGTCACATGAGTGAGAACATCTGTTTCATTGTCACTAGGGGAAGAACAAAAATTGGACATGAAAACATACATGAGTAGAAAATAACCTGTAGCAAGATTGACACAAACCTTCACATGAACAAACTAGGTATTTGCATCAATTAGGATTAAGTTTAGCTACGTGTCGTGTGAAACTGAAAATACCACTGGCACGAACACATTTTATTCACTCTCACAAAAGAAGTCAATGAATAGGTGGTTGAGAGTTTGCAGGGAAACTTCATGGTCATCAAGCCCATAATTCCCATGTGTTATGGGAAGGATCTGGTGGGGGTAATTGAATCATGGGATCAGGTCTTTCCCATGCTGTTCTCAAGGGACTGAGTGAGTCTCATGAGATCTGATAGTTTTATAAATGAAACTTGAACATACTCTCTCTTTGCCTGCCACCATGTAAGTCGGAGGCTTGCTTCTCTCTGCCTTCTACCATGATTGTGAGGCCTCCCCAGCCATGTGGAACTGTGAGTCAATTAAACCTTCCATTTACAAATTACCCAGTCTTGAGTATGACTCTATCAGCAGTGTGAGAACAGACTAATACAACTAGGTAACCAGCAATCCCTGCCGCAGCTGTTTTTAGTCTGTTACAGAATTGAATTAGAAGACTGCTTTCCATTCTATGCCCTGTCTTAAACATAAAGGAATTCTAATAAAAAAGAGAGGCACACGCGAGCTTACATCATATTGTATATATGTATATATATTGTGAGCAGAGCCTACTCTATATGTCGTAGTGAACCTGATTACTTTTCTTTTAAGGCAGCTAGACTGTATGTTCCGACTTCTGTGGGCGCTAGAATAGGTATGCTGTTAAGAACTAACCAATGGAACATGAGCAGAAGTGATGACTGCTCCACGCCTGGCCCATAAACACCTCCCACATAACATCCTTCATTCTCCCTCCCTGTTTCCTATTCACCAGCTGAACTAGAGAATACTCTGAGAAGGGCAGAGCCATAGGATAAAATGACAGCTTAAAGTAACAGCCTTCCTCCACCACTGCCTCGTCCTCACCAACTGCACTGTAGTGTGATGTGAGCAAGAATTAAATGTTTGTGGTTTGAATACACTGAGATGTAGGGCATGTTTGTTTCAGCAATTAAATGATCATATGCATATAATATCACCCAATATTATGCATTCATTTTTTTCCTTAGGATTTTGCTAAAAATAAAAGTAATGGACCAAATAGTTCTTTTTCATGCTGCTGATAAAGACATACCTGAAACTTGGAAGAAAAAGAGGTTTAATTGGACTTACAGTTCCACGTGGCTGGGAAGCCTCAGAATCCCAGAGGGAGGTAAAAGGCACTTCTTACACAGTGGCAGCAAGAGAAAATGGGAAAGAAGCGAAAGCGGAAACCCCTGATAAACCCAGCAGATCTTGTGAGGCTTACTATCATGAGAATGGCATGGGAAAGACCAGCCCCATGATTCAATTGCCTCCCCCTGGGTCCCTCCCACAACACATGAGAAATCTGGGAGATAGAATTCAAGTTGAGATTTTGGTGGGGGCACAGCCAAATCATATCAATCTGCTAATTTAAATGAGAAATGTCTTCTTTTAAATAAACATACATTTTACTATATGATTACCATCTGTATCAAGTGAATATAGGATCTCAGTTTACAGTGGCCCTAGAAGATAAAAGGATTTCACCAATATCTTACTCTTTCCATCATTAATCCATCCAACTGCTGGAATCTGAGTGTAGACAAGAGAGGGAGTTGAGACATTTGAGGTCTAAAAGGTAAGGGGACCTTCAGGGTCATCTCCAGTGACCCTGACATTTTCTTAGTGGAGATCAACTTAAACAATTTCTGCCAAAATGTAAATACTGCTAAAAATGACTCAGCCATTTACTCATAATCAGTCCAAACATGCAGTACTACTGCCCCACTAATTGCTAGCAAGGAAGTAATGGATGAAAGGTCAGCTATTAGCTGACTTGCAGACAGTGTTTGCAGTGGTTCCTGCCGTTGCAGCATTGATTAGCATCTCGGGTGTGCAGAGAAGCCAAGAAGCTAAGAGGAAAGCACCGTTTGAGAACCCAAAGGGCGTAGAAAATCTGCCCAGCATCATTATTTGCCTTTTGCTGAGCCATCTTCCTCTTTAGTTTGAAAAGCAGTTGTTTCACTTTTGCAAATAAAAATTTACTAAGGGAAATGGGAAAGTAGATAAACTATCCTAGGCATTCGTGACAGCAGGCCCGAAGCTTTGGCGTGTGTACTTAACACTGTATGCCAAGAGTCTGAAATACGCCTCGGAAACTATTAGTCCATTTCACACTGCTCTAAGGAATTCCTCGAGACCAGGTGATTTATGAAGAAAAGAGGTTTAATTGACTCACAGTTCTGCATGGCTTGGGATGTCCCAAGAGACTTACATTCACAGCAGATGGCAAGGGGAAGCAAGGCATGTCTTACATGGCGGCAGATGGGAGAGCGAGCAGGGGAAACTGCCGCTTATAAAACCGTCAGACCTTGTGGGAACTTTCTCACTATCACAAGAACATCATGGGGGAAACCGCCCCCACGATCCAGTCACCTACACCAAGTCCCTCCCTTAACCCATGGGGATTACAATTTCAGATGAAATTTGGGTGGAGACACAGCACCAAACATTATCAGTAATTATCACATCAAGTCACAGAAGTTAAGATAGACTTTGAACATGGAGGCTTACTGCAAATGGCTGTTTTTTGTGATGTCTCAAATATAAGTTGACTTCCGGCTCCTTTAACTTTAATTCTTTGGGGAAAAAAACACATAAAATACATGATTAAGCAGGAATGGACACAAGCCCCTCACAGAGAAATTTGAAACAAACATTGGAGAAGCCCCAGAAACTTTATTTCCCCCACCACGTTCTCAAGCTGTGGGCTAGGCCTCTTCTCTTCTAGATCGAAGCCACAGTGAGGCAGAAGTCCTTGCCCCAGTTTTGCAGGCACATCTGCCGGGGCTCTCCATTTTCCTGATGCCTTCACAATGAAGAAGGGGCCGGAGGGAGAATACAACATGCCAAGAGTGTCAAGCTTTTCCCAGTACGCTGTAAACTCAAAATGTTACAATGATTTGTTTCCTACCGTGTCTTGCTTTTCAGGCTTCAGTTCCTACCTGGCATCATTTATCCTCTGGAAGAAAACAAGCCCTGTGATGACCAGAATCACCACAAAAAGAGTTTCATGTAAAGAATGATCAGTACGGAGGACAACGCTGGAGATCCTGGGGTTCTGAGACCTTTAAACACAGACGGGGGTAAGAAACCATTTCAAGGATTCTTTTAATTACAAATTAAAGTCAATCATTTTAAAGAACATTTTAAAATATTCTTACGAGTTCACAGACTGTCATAATCATAAAAACCTCTAAATTACAACTTGAATGTTACTAATATATCATTCTTTCATGGCAGAATTTAGGAAGCGTGCTTGTGTTTCGTACACGGTAAGTTTCTGACAAATGTTTTCTGAACAAATAAATGCACAGTACACATTGCTGATACTTTCCAATTTTATAAGAAAAACAATATGTTTTCCCCAGTATATTTCAACTTCCCATGCAAATATTAGCCTTTGAAAGAACATTACTTTTAATATTTGGGGTACGATCTGATGACACTTTCCACACAGTGAAGTGATTTTCTTACTAAGTTGATGTAACCTCTTTAGCAAGGTGTTTTATGTCTTCCTACTTTCATTGTATTTATCTGTGAAATGGCCCTAAGAATTACTGAAAAGATAAATCAAAGTAGGAACATCATTCTTTTTGGGGGGATGGGGATGGAGTCTCGGAGTGTCTCTCAGCTCTAGTGCAGCGGCGTGATCTCGGCTCACTGCAACCTCCCCCTCCTGGGTTCAAGCAATTCTCCTGCCTCAGCCTCCTTAGCAGCTGGGATCACAGGCACACACCACCCAGCCCAACTAATTTTTGTATTTCTAGCAGAGACGGGGTTTCATCATGTGGCCAGGCTGGTCTCAAACTCCTGACCTCAGGTGATACGCCTGCCTGGGCCTCCCAAAGTGTTGGGATTACAGGTGTGAGCCACCATGCCCGGCCAGGAACATCATTCTGAAGTCTTTTATCCTATGAAATTGGCCAGCTAGGCTGGGCATGGTGGCTCACACCTGTAATCCCAGTGCTTTGGGAGGCCAAGGTGGGTGGATCACCTAAGGTCTGGAGTTCAAGACCAGCCAAACCAATATGGTGAACCCTGTCTCTACTGAAATACAAAAATTAGCCAGGCGTGGTGGCACACACCTGTGTTCGCAGTTACTCAGGAGGCTGAAGTGGGAGAATCACTTGAACCCAGGAGGCAGCAGAGGTTGCAGTCAGCCGAGATCGTGCGACTACACTCCAGCCCGGGTGACAGTGCAAGACTCCGTCTCAAAAAAAAAGAAAGAAGGAAGGAAGGAAGGAAGGAAGGAAGGAAGGAAGGAAGGAAGGAAGGAGGGAGGGAGGGAGGGAGGGAGGGAGGGAGGGAGGGAGGGAGGGAGGGAGGAAGGAAGGAAGGAAGGAGGGAAATTATCCACCTAAAGAGTGTGTGAACTCTAAATACAAGTCTGACTCCTGGCTCCAAGAGGTCGTTCTATCCTGTTAAATACCCTGCTCAAAGACTACACTAGAAAAATGTCAGATAACCCGAGGCATGAAAACAATATGGTTACAGTCCTCAAAATATCTCACAAACCAACTGGAGAAGTCAAATCCATACAAATGAAAAGATAACTCATATGAAAGAAAAACAAAAGCTCAAGACCCCAATTCAGTATGCCAAATGGGAAAAATTAAGCTGAAAGCTGAGTCAGGCAGGCAACTGCCTTTCCTTGTATTCCTTAGCAGATAGCTACAGATAAAACGTAAATTTCTTCACAAGTAGTTCCTCTGTGTTCACCTTATCATAATTGACTCTCCCTCTACCTGCTCCGTTTCTCTTACATCTGAGTTACCACACCCGTCCTCTTTCCCCTCCAGTGCACTTTTACCCTTTAAATATTGAAGCCCTCAAAGTCATCTTTGGAGAAAGACACAGATCACTGACTGTGTCTCTGATTCTGGTTTTTTCTTTTGTTCAATCTGTGCAAATTGTTCTAAACCTTGGCAAAATAAACTTCCAGATTAATTGAGACCTGTCTCAGATATGTTTTAGTTTAAATGTACAAGAGAGAAAACGGTGCTGGATGAACATTATTGATTATAAATCATCTAAGGAATAACAGCATTTAATCAACTCTCACAGGGAGGTTAGGGAGAGGCAGGACTTGAACTGAGCCTTGCTGGTCTGCAGAACTGAAAAGATTAAAAGAAGGACTTTTCAAGACAAAGAAAGAATTTGAGAAAAGTTTAAAAGACGAGTTCACCTAAGTAATATTTAGAGCATAGAATGGAATATATAGAGATGAATCTGCAGTGATTTGAACCTAGGTCTGCAGTTGTTTGTATTATGTCAGGTACTGTGCCAGACTTAAGGAATACAAAACTAAAAGAAGTGGTTCTAACTCTCAAGGACCTTACACTGTGCTGAGCGTCACAGAAGCAAGTGGTTGTAATATAATAAGAAACATAGATTTGGTCTTTGTCCCCCAGTTCCTGGCACAGTTCCAAGGATTTTTCATAAACTCCTTGGAAATTCCACAGTGATCCATCTCTTGTATGCTAATGAGATAAGCGGTGTCTGGGCCTTCAGAATGGGGCTGGTAATTAGAAAGACCGAGGTATGGTTAGAGCGTTGAAACTCACCCCCTACCACCACCCTCCCCTTCTACTGACCTCCTGGGAGGGGAGAGGGGCTAGAGATTGAGCTCATAACCAATGCCCAATAATTTAATCAATCATTCCTGTGTAATAGAGCGTATACAACAACCCTACATGACAGAGTCTGCAGAGCTATCTGCATTGGGAGATTTTCCCAGCTGTGAACACACTGAGGGACTGGGAGGTCGGCACTCCCAGAGACATCATGGAAGCTCTTTCCTCCATACCTTGCCCTCTGCATCTCTTCCTTTTGTCCCTGAGTCGGATACTTTGTAATAAATCAGTCGTAGTAAATAAAGTGCATTCCCAAGTGTGAAAATAAGTAATTTAAAATTCCAAGCTGTTGGAATTTTAAAATATTTTGAGGCTTAGCGGAATATAACTATGAGACTTGAGTTACATAAACAAGCGGCTATGACCTAGAAAGCTGTAACTTCTGTTTCGCTGATTGTACATTAGCCTTTTTCCTTACCTCCCCATCCCTTTGGAGTCTGTGTTACCCGAATGGCTATTCTCAGACTCTTGCTTAAATAAACTCTTTTAAACTGGATTCTGATCCTTTTGATTATATCAGGTTGACATGAGTTCTGTGAGCCATTTTAGCAAATTATTAAACCTGACAAGGGAATGATGGGAACTCTAAGTTCAGGTTGGCAACCTGGGACTCATGACAGGTGTCTGAAGTGAGACTAAGCCCTTAACCTGTGCAGTCTGTGCTAACTCCAGGTCGTTAGTGTCTGGATTGAATTGTAGGACACCTAGTTGGTATCTGGAGAGTTGGAGAATTAGTTGGTGTAGGGAAAAAAAACACCCGCATTTGGTGTCAGAAGCATCGTGAATGAAAACAGTGCCGAGCAGTCCATTACAGGTCCGTGGAGGTACTTTGACAGAGGAATGCATGAAGCATTCTGTGAGCACAGAGGAGGAATAGCTAACCAAACTTCAAGGCAAGAGAAAATCATCCCAGAGGATCAATGTCAAACTGAGTTCAACAGGAATTGATCACATGCAATGGGAGAAGAGGGTACAGGGAAAGAAGTGTCTTATGGAGAGGTAGAAATTGCCTGTAAAAGGGAACAGAGGAATACAAGCACTTAACACTTTTGAAGAGCCTAAAGAGGCCCACATGCATGGGGTACAGGATAGAGAACAGTGAGATACGAGGCTAAAGAGAGCAGCCAGAGATTGTTAAAGCGTTTCACTCGATATGAAGCAAAGAGATTATGTAAGTAGGAGAATGGCATTTTAGAAAGGTCCCTCCAGAAACGGTAGACAGGGTAAATTGGAGGAAGGTCACCTGGGGCCAGGAAGATTTGTTACAAGGACATTACAATAATCCTGATGTGAGATACTATCTGACCAACTGAGACAGTAGGAAGAAAGAAAAAGACCCAGACGTAAGAAAAAAATTAAGATTAAATCAACAAAACATCTTAACTGGCATTGAGTATGGGGATAAGAAAGAGAAATATTGTAGCATATTCTAACATTTCTAGCTTGAGTCATTTATCAAGATACACAGATCTAGGGCTCACAAAGGGGTAATGGGGAATGGTTTCGGAAATATGTAAGTAGACGTGCCCTCGATGCATCCAGGTGAAGCTGTCCAGCTGGAATCTGGTTTTGGTCACTGTGTAGCCAAGGAGAGAAATCCAAGCAAAACTATAGACTTGAGAGTCAGGAATTGGACAGTGGTTGAAACCATGGACATGGATGAGATTACACAAAGAACGAAGGTACAATAAAGAGATGGACGAAGATGGAACACATGGAAATGTGTCCATTCGTGGGGTGAATACATGAAATGAATCTATTTAAGAAAACACAAAAGTTGACAAAGTTAAGAAAAGAACCAAGTGAGAACAGGAGAAAAACACATCAGAAGGGAGAAGAAACCATAGCAAATACTATTAAAAAGCAAATAAATAAAAAATTTAAAACTATATTATATAAAATTACATTATTAGATATTTTAAATTAATTAGTAATTATAATAATATTACAAAGAAGCTAATTAAGCGAACAAAGAATGAAACATTTATATTTTATTTGGCATCTGAGAGATGCTTTTTTTCAGAGCATTTTCTCTGCAGGGAGATACAAGTAAGTTAAGGGACAAATGTGAGGTGACGTAGAAGAGACAATAAGGGTAGACTCCTCTTTTAAAAAAAAATCTTGGCTATGAGTAGAAGCCAGGAGTTAAATGTTTGAGGAAGTCATAATACCAAGTTTTTAGATATGAAAGAAAAACAGGCATGTTTTATGAGCAACTTTAGGAAAAAATGATGTAAGGAACAAAAAAACTAAGCAAAAGAGACGTGAACGAAGCAAAGCTCCAGGGAGCAAAGGGGGACAAAGGGTTAGAACATAGGTTGGGTGTTGGCACTGTAGAAGGGAAGATCAGATAATACCAAAGATAAACGCACCGACCATAGATAAGATGTCTGAAGTAAGAATTTAGACTTGATGGGAGATGGATCATGGAAAACACAGCTAAAGACTACATGGTTTCCTTTTGGGGTGATAAATATGTTCTAAAATTGATTGTAGCAATGGTCGCACAAGCATGGAAGTGCATGCTTTAAATGGGTGAATTGTGTGGTATATAAATTAGATGTCAATAAAGCTGATGTAGAAAAGAAAATAAACATGAATATGAGGAAAAATTAATATGATTATGTTTAATATTAGTTATAATAATTATTACAATAGGTAATTTTTATCAATAGGATACATATAATAGCCAACATTTATTAATATAAGGAAGGCTAGTGGCCAACACTTGCCAAGTATCAATTATGTAGTCGGTATATATTAATACAATTAAATAGATAACATGTTTTTTATATATGTACTTTAATTAAACCAGTAATCCTATTAGGTGGGTCTCATTATCTTCATTTAACAGGTAAAGAATCATGAGACAGAGCTTTAATTACGGCTCAAGTTCATATAGCTGGTGAACAAAAAGCCATGTTACGTGAAAGGCTTTGCTCCTAATCACAAGATTCTCCTGTCCAAAACAATATAAAGATGTAGACCTTATATTTTCATCTTTGCACCACCAACTTCCAACTGATAAATAGCATTCAATAAGTATTCAGTGAATTAATTAATAGATTGCTTTTAGAGGATGAGACGGGGGAAGAAATACTTGTGTCTTATTCAGAGTGACGAAGTGATAACTACCACAAGAAATAAAATCAGGAAGGAAATAACCGTCATTCTGGGCTATCTACTAAGCAAAGATTGTTAAAACTATATAAAACTCTGGATATTTCATATCACAAAATTAGCAAAATATATTTTTATGACTGTTCCACTAAAGGATAGATTCCAGCAGTGCAATGCATTTCTCGGTTTTAGAGGATATTTTCAAACTAGGAGCTCAAATTTTCTTACCTGGTGTTTGATTATTCATTATTTTCTGTGGAAGAAGAAGTTGAGCATAAGGTTTACTCTTCTACAAGAAACAGACGCTTACCTGAATTCAACTTTATGTCCAGACTCTTGTTGCCAGTCAAATGGGAGACATGGCAGGTCACGGTAGACACATTGTGGCCCTCCCAGTGGCATGTACTCTTAACAGTCACTGTGCCATTGCCCCCGTATTCTTGCTCAGTGACACAATCCCCCTCTGGGATCCAGGAGATCTGTGCAGCTGGCTTCCCTGCAGCTGCCTTGCATACTGCAGTTCCATTCCTGCTTCGAAACAGGGTCACTTCAGGAGTAACTGCAGAGATGAAAAAGAAGAAAATGCTTCGGTTTTCACATAAGGCATATGGAACTCAGAGAGACACTTGCTTCAGTCACAGATCTGGTGATGTGAAATACCACAATATATGATGCCCCTTACCTAACACTTGGAGGTGATATCCACGATGGAAATTGCCATCAGGTGCTCCCATTATGCATCTGTAATACCCGTCATGAGTGATGGCCACTGGACGAATCTGAAGGGCGGGATTCTGATCAGGTCCAGAGACCCAGGTTATTCTCTCATCAGTACAGTTGGTTTCCTTGGTCTCATTTGTTTCTTTCTTGTAGGCTTTTTTACAGAAAGGCTGGCCTCTCAGGATTATTTCCCATGTTATTATGATCAAGTATTTTAGTGTGATAGGAGGACAACAAAGCACAGCATTTTTACCCATCAGTATAGGCCGTGAAGTATTTGCTGGATGCGTACAAGGAAGGAGAATGGTAAAAGAAAATCTTGATGAAGAACTTCAGGTGTTATGTTTATTCACAGTAGTATATCACATGAAGTTGTATTAGAACATAAATCTGCTGATCTTATCCCCAAAATATCAGGCTTACATAAGAAAATAACATTCACGAAATATAAATAATGTATTGAATCCAATCTAGAAATTAACACATTTTCTCCAGTTTTATGTATTAATAGAAAAACAACATACATAATATTGTATTCTGAAATACAATAAAGTGTTCTGAAATCAATTCAGGAGTTTAATATCTAGAAACAGAGAAGAAGACAGAATTGTAAATTAAACAACGAAGGCAGTGTTCTACATCTAATCTGTAGGTGGTGGAGAGTACTTTATTTATCATACAATTCATGTGCCTTGGAAGAGAAAGTGGAAAAACTGCTGATGTGATTGTCTCCTCCTCTGTTTTGGTGGGTACAAGAACATCAGTTACATCAAAGTTAAGTGCCTGTCTCTAAGGTTGTTATTTCAGACATGCATAAATGTGGAAAGTTTATGGCTCTTTCCACATTTACCATAAAGGTAACTAATATGGCATCCAAGTTTAGCTAGCTGGACATTTTTTAAGTTTATTTTTTATTTAGTGAGAGCCATAGATCTTCAAAAAAAAATCTAATTTTACCAGCTGAGCCATCACATGTAAATAAAATAAAATGCCTAGGAGCTCAAATTTTCTTACCTAGAGATGTTTAGAAACACATGTTTCTAATTTAAAAAGTAGTGTGGCATGTACTTCTTAAAACGCTTTATTTTTCTTTGGACATTTATCAGGTAAAAGTTTTATTGTGAATTCGTGACATTGTCAAACATAGCCTTTGGATATTTTCCTTCCTTCCTACTTAGTCACACATACAATCCCAGAGAGTTCAGTGGTAAATTTCTCTGACAGATTTTATTTCTGTATATTCATTGCAATCATCAGAAGTAAATGTGTAAGTCGACCCTTTTCTGTCCATCTTTTAAAAAAGTAAAAAGTAAGCCATACATCCTCCACATCCTACAAGCATTTTCCAACATAGATTCTCATGCATTTCATATGCTGACACAATGTTTCCACAACTGATCAGGGTTTACTGAAACGTAATTATTCTTTAGGTGGTAGAGAGTACTTTATTTATCATACAATTCAAGTGTCTGTCACTACTCACCTGTAAGTAACAAAGGTGAGTGTCAGAGATGCCATCACTATAACAGAAGCAGAATCAGTTGCAGAGGGGCAAACCCTTATGCGGATGATGCTTGTTTTTGCTGAACCCTACGCTTAACATCGCTCCTCTACTGTTTTGGTGTTGCCCATCTCTTATGCAGTGCTTTAACCCTTGTATTTCACAGTCAAATAATGATCATATATCTAGATGCAGTAAGAGGAAGGACTTTAATGCAGACCTCAAAGGTCGTTAAATCCGCGCTCCTTCCACCACGCCACCTTAGCAAAGGTTCAGAGGCAAGCAAGAAGATGGCTTGTCTGGAAAACTACAGACTGGGACATTCAGGGACTCATACCACAGCACTCAGATCAACATGTTCTGCAGGTAGTCACAAGGGTGGCCTCCAGCCAGGCCGTCAGCCAATGATTCTAGCAAAGTTCAACTTCCATGTCTCGGTCTTGGCCACTCCTAAGGAAGCATATTACCTTCTCGGAAACCTGTTGAATTGTTCTTTGTCATCTGCTTTTCATCCATACGTGAACTACTTGAAACTAGAAAATAGTTACAGAAGAATAAATGAAATCAATTTTATATATTCAGAATGGAAGCAAGTATTTCCCCACAAAGTCTTACTCAACATGAAGACAATTAGTTAACCATAACTAAAATTATATAAAAATCATTGTAAAACAGAAATTAGAAGTCATGCCATCATTAGAGGATAAAACATGTTAACATCTTTAACATTATGCGTATAATCAATTAATAATGATTTCTCATTCATGAGACACTTGTTCAGTGAACCAGTTTGTATGGGGTAACCATGCCTCCCCCATTCCTCCTTTCCCAGTCAAGATTGGTCCACATGGGCATCTCACATGAGCTAGTGCAATTATACTTCTTTCTCCAAATGCTGGAGAGAGCATCTTTAAATGAAATTACTCTGCACATTTTTTTCCCTTCTTAACCTAACTCCTCTAAAAGAGTGAAGAAATTAAACACAGAACTGGAGTATTACTAACCAGGAAGTAGCTCTATAGACACTCTTGTTGCTAGTCACGTGTGGCTATCACAGTCATGATAGGCACACTGTGGCCCTCTCAGTGGCATGTACTCCCAGCAGTTACTGTGCCATTGCCTCAATATTCTTTCTCAGTGACATAATCTCCCTGTGGAGTCCGGGAGATCTATGCAGCTGGCTTCGCTGCAACTGCCTTGCACACCACAGTTCTTTTATGCTTAGAAACACTGTCACTTCAAGGAGAATTGCAGAAAGGTAAGGAAAAAGTGCTTCAGTCTTAAAGAATATGAAACTTAGAGAGACATTTGTTCCCTACCTAACACTAGGTCCTTCAGGTCCCCCGATGGCCTAGGGGAATGACTGCTGTAGTAATTCTCAAAGCGTGGTTTTCAGATGGCTAGGGATAACCAAGACCCTTTCAATGGACATTATCGTGGGTAATATCTATGATGGAAATTCCCATCAGGTGTTACCATTATCCACCTGTAATACCCATAAGGAGTGAGGACAACTGGATCAATCTGAAGGGCAAGATTCTAGTCAGGACTGGAGGCCCACGTTATATACTCTTGTCATTGTAGTTTTTTTCCATTGTCTCATTTCTATCTCTCCTGTAGGCTTTGATGCAGGAAGATTTGTCTCTGATGAGTATTTCCCATGCCGTTACCATCACATTTGTCAACAGGATGGGATGGCAACAGAGCACAACTTTTGTATCCATTAGTATAGACAGTGAACTGCTAACTGGACACAATAAGGAAAAAAAATGATAAAAAATGTCTGCATGTCGGGCCGGGCGCGGTGGCTCAAGCCTGTAATCCCAGCACTTTGGGAGGCCGAGGCGGGTGGATCACGAGGTTAAGAGATCGAGACCATCCTGGTCACCATGGTGAAACCCCGTCTCTATTAAAAATACAAAAAATTAGCTGGGCATGGTGGCGTGTGCCTGTAATCCCAGCTACGGAGGAGGCTGAGTCAGGAGAATTGCCTGAACCTAGGAGGCGGAGGTTGCGGTGAGCCGAGATCAGGCCATTGCACTCCAGCCTGGGTAACAAGAGAGAAACTCTGTCTCAAAAAAAAAAAAATGTCTGCAGTCAATTTCTTCCACTGGGTCTCATTTAAGGTCCCATAAAACCCTTCTTTCTCTTAATGGGTATTTTACCCACCCTGGATGTTAAAGGTTGGTTGGAAATAGTTCCACTTGCTACTCAAACATTTGATACAAATGCATTTCCTCAAAATAGCCATCATGCTTTGGTATGCAACAAAAAGGCATTAAATGTATTTCCAGTTTCATCATGTAGAATATTTTTAAAAGATGCCAGATGTAAGGCTTGAGATTTAATATATTAATAATTTTTACTGAAGCATCAAGGACATTTTTAGGGAATGTGTATGTATGTGCATGAACGAGTGAAGAATACGACTATTGGTACAAGTTGGTGCCTGTTATGGGTTGAATTTTATATCTAAAAATGTATGTGTTGAAGTCCTAACCCTCAGAGATGTGACCTTATTTGAAAATAAAACCATTACAAATATAATTAGCTAACGTAAAGTCATACTGGAGTTGAGTGAGCCCCTGATGCAATACAATTGGTGTTTTTATAAAACAAGAGCAAATGGGACACAGATATGGACACAGGAAAAGCTCCATGTAAGGACTGGGGGATATGCTGCCTCAGCCAGGAAATGCCAGGAAAAGCTCCATGTAAGGACTGGGGGATATGCTGCCTCGACCAGGAAATGCCAGGAAAAGCTCCATGTAAGGACTGGGGGATATGCTGCCTCGACCAGGAAATGCCAGGAAAAGCTCCATGTCAGGACTGGGGGATATGCCGCCTCAGCCAGGAAATGCCAGGAAAAGCTCCATGTAAGGACTGGGGGATATGCTGCCTCGATCGGGAAATGCCAGGAAAAGCTCCATGTCAGGACTGGGGGTATGCTGCCTCAGCCAGGAAATGCCAGGAAAAGCTCCATGTAAGGACTGGGGGTGTGCTGCCTCAGCCAGGAAATGCCAGAAGCTAGGAGAAGGGCTTGAAACAGACCCTTTCGTAGTGCCTTCAGAGGGAGAATGGCTCTGCCAACACCTGGATCTCGGAGTTTTCATTTCTAGAACTGTAACACGATAAGGCTCCGTCGCCTCCATCTCCCAGTTAATGGTTCTTTGTTAAAACAGCCCTAGCAAACTAATACAGCTAGTGCTCAGCACTTCATTCATGCTAAGGCACCAGTAACTTTAAACAAGGGTTCAATTGTACTATCCGGGAAAATATCGGTAGAAAGGCAAATAACATCACTGTATTATCATTATTATTACTATTGTAACTCATTTTTACCGAGGGGACCCACTGAAAGGGTCTTGGTTGTCCCCAGCCATCTGGAAGTTATTCCCCTAGTCCTTCACCAAAGGACCTATAATCATGTGTTTGGGTAACCATAACTGGGGAAAAAGGAATACAAAGATCTTTTGAGGGTCGTTTGAATACTAATCTGAACTTATCCTGATACCCAAGGACACAAAGAACACTGAGGGCCTCCTGTTAGAGCAGGAACATATTGGAATCAGGTAATAAAAGAAATCCTGGGTCTGGTTCATGTCACAGTAGACTTTCAAAGTCCACAGACTGATCCAGTGGTGATTTTTCAGCTGCTGGATTGGAACAAGCATACTTAGCAGCTTGCAGATCCTCTTGTTCCTTCATCTGTCCTCTTATAATAGGACAGTCCAAGAGGAATCCCCCAAACCACCCACCTTGGCCAAGATGGTAAATAAATATTAATATTGAAGACCTGAGGTTGAGTCTCCTCTCAGAGACTTAAAGTATACGGAAATAGTGGTCCCCACCCTCTCTCCCATATGGATATAGTGGTCCCCACCTTCTCTCCCATACGGAAATAGTGGTCCCCACCCTCTCTCCCATACGGAAATAGTGGTCCCCACCCTCTCTCCCATACGGAAATAGTGGTCCCCACCCTCTCTCCCATACGGAAATAGTGGTCCCCACCCTCTCTCCCATACTGAAATAGTGGTCCCCACCCTCTCTCCCATATGGAAATAGTGGTCCCCACCCTCTCTCCTATACAGAAATAGTGGTCCCCACCCTATCTCCTAATTTACCTGTTCGATCCCTGCCAAACCCTGGATGGTGAACTGCACTAGGCCAGTGCAGAATTACCGCTGTGTTAGCCCCAACTGCAGCTACTCTGCCAGATAAACTACCTTTGCTAGCAATACTCCGGTTGTAGTATGCGGTTATTGATCTGGTAAATGCCTTAGTTTCACTATTCATCAGGAAGGAACATCAAAAGTTTGTTTGTTCCACAGGAGAGTAACCAGTATACAAGCATGGTCTTGCCTTAATTTCTACGTCCATGTGCCCTGTAATCTAAAAAGATCTAGGCTGTCTAGGCATTCTACAGAAACCATCACACTGGTCTACTATATTGATGACGTATCAGTTAGATCTTCTGAGCAAAACGTGAGTGGTATTATGAACGCCTTAGTCAAGCACATGCATTCCGGAGGTGAGAAATAAATTCTAAGAAGATTCAGGGCCTGAGAAATCAGTAAAGGTTTTAGTAGCCCGGTGGTCTGAATCCCACCATATATCTCCTCCCAAGAAAAGGACAAAGTATTTAACCTTACTTCCTGCCACTGAGTAGAACACCACTTGGTTTTGGAGGCAGACTGCTGCATATGTGAGATTACTGCTCTGCCCCTCTAATAGAATGCTAGTCCGAGTATGTTCCAGACCAAGATAACAGGTCCATGCTACAGCACACCAACCCCGACAATAAGTTCATAAAATCAGACAGATCTGTGATACGAGAAGATTCTGTGATAAAGATGCAATGTGGAGCCTCAGACAAGTCCAGTAGGACAGTCACAGTGCAGGCCCTAGGCCTTCAGATGACTAGTTATCTGTCATCTGAAGCAGATAACTAGTTACCTTTTAAAAAACAGCTCATGGCATGCTAGGGGACCCTGGTGAAGACTGAGCATCTAATTATAGGATATGAAATAATCAGGCTCCTAAAACAACCCATTATAAGCTAGATACTATTAGACTCACCAAACCATAAATAAAGTGGGCCCAGCAGCAATCCACTGTAAAACAGAAGCGGTACATTGGGGATCAGGCTTCGGCTTCAAGAGAACACCAGTCATTGGAGAGAACAAATGGTTCAGGCCCCCACCTCATACACCACTGTTACACTGTCATCTCTCTCTCAGCTCACATCTAAGCCCTCACTGTAAGTTCTCTAGGACCAAACCCAAAGCTTAGCTTATGGATGAGTTGCCTCAGTCTGTGATATAAGCCAAAAACGGACTACTGCGGCACTGTAGCCCCACTCTGGTCTGGCCCTGAAAGACAATGATGGTAAAAAATACTCAAGGAAGAAATGATTCTGTAATAAAATAGATAAACTCATGAGCAGTGGCAAATGGTTCGGCATGTTTGGTCAGAGACCTGGAAGAGCCACGGTTGGAAAGTAGAGGCTAAGAAGG